GATCCTGCGGCCGAAGCCCGCCGGCCGCCCCCGCCGAGCCAGGTACTCCCCGCCGCCGGGGCGCCCTGGGGGAGGCGGGCGGCCGCGCTGGGGTTTGCTGCGAGCGTTTTCGCTGTTGGGGGCGCCTGAGAGGTCTCCATTCCGGAGCCACCCGGCTCGGAGACGGTGCGCCCGGAGAGGCGTCTATGCGGGCTGGGCTGCAGATGCTTCAGCACTCGGCGCCTTTTGGATCTTTTCAGCCCTGAGGCTGGCGCGCTCTTTAGGTCAGACGTGATTAAGAGAGCAAAGAGGTTCTGGTTTTTTCCCCAGGGTGCCATCCCTCGGGTAAGGGGAGGTGAGGAGGAGTGGGAACACCCCGGGAAACAGACCCCCGGTCAGCTCCCGACGAGTTACAGTCTGCAGCTCTGACCTCAGGTGGCTGGGCCACCGAGGGCTCAGCGGGGACGCAAAGGAAAACTGTGTTCAGTGACACTTGTTAAAGCCGGTAAGGAAGACTTTATTCAGGATCAGCCCAAGAGGTCCAGGGACCACTGCAATGGGGGTTGCAGAGGGGAGAGAGATTGAATTCAACTCTGAATACAGCCTGGACAAGTGGGAATTTATCGACAAAGATCAGGGTGCGGGCCTGTGGATGGAAAATTACTGAGAGAAAACATCAGGGGTAGGGGGTTCTGGCTGTGTATGTAGTTAATTGTATGATGGTGATGTCAATATACAGTCCTTTTTCCAATAATAAAAGCAATGCATGGTCACTCATATTTCAGCATCGTAGATATGTGTGAGTAGGAATTGAGAGACCCTTGAAATACTCTTGAACTCTGTCTCCTTCTCCTATACATGCACAAGTGTGTACACCTCTGAAAATACTGCCGAAAATACTTCTTGGAGCACAAGAAGCTTCCAAACTCAGATGCCCCTGGTAGGCTGGTTCTTCCCAGGGGAGGCTTGTGTGAGTGATGCCTCCTGGGGGGACGCTAGCTCGTATGGCACAGGGAGGGCTCACATGTCTTCTGCTCCCCATGGCATTTGCTAGGAGAGTGTACCTGAAATCCCAAACCAGAGCCAGTGGTTTCTGAATGACTTCAGACCATTAGGGCTTTCCCCCTTCAAAGGACGGGCCAAAATCTTTAAACATGATTTGCTGTTTTAGAAGAAATAAAACCAATATGTTTTTTTTTTCATGAGTCCTTTCAAAAATACTTTTAAGTATTTCTTCAGAAGTCCTTCTTGAGATACCTATCTCATAAAGATGACTTGACATCTTAGCTTTGCTTTAAAATAATGGCGGGGAGGATTGGCTGAGCTGATCATTGCTAAGTTGGGTTGAATCTGGGTGAAGGGCCGTGGAGGGATATTACACTGTTCTCTCTACTTTCAAGTGCTTAACATCTTCCATAATACAAATTGAGAATAAGTAAATAAACCAAGATGAATCAAATGTTTTAAATACTAAAGCTTAAGTCACTAGAAACAAGTGGCTGGTGGGCAGTGCTCCTGGCTGGGAGGGTAACGTTGATGGAGCCGTCCTCTGCCCACTCAGCCCCCGTACTTGGCTTTGAGGGGCCATTTTCCCAGGACTTCTCTGGGCTGCTGTTTGGGCCAGTGGCTTGGGCTCAGCTGTCCTCAAGGCTTTTTGGCTTTGTGGGGGGAAGAAAAAAAGAGGAAGAGGGAAGGTGGGGACGGAGGGGAGAGTGGCATTTGGCTAACTGACCCCCAGCCCCGCATCCTCCTTGACTCCTTGACTGGAAGCCATGAGCAATCCACTCTCACCCTCTGGACTTCAGTCCCTGTTAGTCAAATGGGAGAGCTGACAGAGGGGACTCTGAGATCCCCCTCCACCTCAGATGCCCTATCTCATGGTCACTGTTTCCTTTTACAGTCCAGCGACACAGGATGACCCCAAGAGTCAGAACCTTGGCAAGCCCCAGAATGAGACCCTCCAGTCCCTCACAGGAACGGGAAAGGTCAGTGAGTCACATGGGTGTGGGAAGCCCCTTCCTCCCTCGTCCAGGCAGATACAGACAGAGCAGCCCATTGGAGTCTGGGCGGCAGGGTGCAGGAAACCAGGGCCTGGGTGGCGAGTGGAGAGTCCCAGACCCAGAGGGCATAGGTGGGAGTCATCCTCTTAAAGGGACACTATCTCTACAGTTATAAATCACCTGATACCACTTTATAATGTATTAGTTAATTGTATATTAGTAATAGAAGTATACAGTCATTTTTCCAATAATAAAAGCAATACATGGTCATTCATCATATTTCAACATCATAGATATCTGTAAGTGGAAATGAGAGACCCTAGTAATGGTATTTAGCCCCCTCTCCTTCTGATACTCCTGCACAAGCATGCATACTCCAGAAATACTGACAAGACCATGCACACAAGTAGCTCCCAAACTCAGATGCCCCTGGTAGGGTGGTTCTTCCCAGGGGAGGTTTGTGTGAGTGGTGACTACCAGAGGGGTACGCACGGGTATGGGGCAGGGAGGAGTGAGGAAGGGCCCGTGGTGATTGGGAGTGGCCAATCACAGGTTCCATCCCATTCCAGAGAGATAAGTGGGCAGAGAGGTGGGTAGGAGGGGGAGAGAAGATGGATTTTTTTTTTTTGAGTTGGAGTCTCACTCTGTTGCGCAGGCTGGAGTGCAGTGGCACGCTCACAGCCACCGGAGCCTTGATCTGCTGGGCTCAGGCAATCCTTCTGCCTCAGCCTTCCAAGTAGCTGGAACTACAGGCGTGTGCCACTATGCCCAGCTAATTTTTCTTGATTTATTGTAGAGATGAAGGCTCGCCAGGTTGCTTAGGATGGTCTCGAACCCGTAGGCTCAGGCAGTCCTCTCACCTCAGCCTCCCAAAGTGCTGGGATTATAGGCGTAAGCCACTGTCCCCAGACAGAGAAGATGAATTTTATATCCTTAAATTCCTCTGGGGAAGGAAGGGCATTCTTTCTTGCCCCATTTCTGTCCTCGAGTGTTGACCGCCACAGTCGTCTCCCTCACATCCACCTTAGTCCCTCCTGCCATCATTCTTCTGAGGAAGCACTTGGCAGGGCCTCGGCTGAGAAGAGAAACCTGGCCGGGGGCCCGGGCACCTGGAGCGCTTAGTGGACACTGGCTCTGCTGGAAATAGAGGAGGGATGCGACTGGACACTGCCCTGTGTGCCCACGCACGGCTCTTCCTCCACCCAAAGCAGGGCCCAGGGCCTGGGAGATGTCTATGGGCTCCTGGGCTTGGAGGCATTTGGAAAACCCTGGCTTTTCCCCCCTCTCAGAAGTCTCCAGAATCCCCAGTCAAGCAGAATGCGCTTCCAGTGGCCTGCCCACAGCATGTGAGGATCAAAAACTGGGGCAACGGGATGACTTTCCAAGATACACTTCACCACAAGGCCAAAGGGGTGAGTCTAGGGTCTCAGGGAAATCCGCCTTTGTCCCAAACTGGTGAAGCCATCAAGGTTTGTGGATCAAATGGATGTCCCTGTGAGCAATCTAAACATTCATCTGCTTGGGCAAAGGTTTCTGGGAACAGAGACTCATGTTCCTCACAGAGCACAGTAGGAAGTAAGTGATACCACCCCCCATTAAGCACCATAGTGGATAATCCAGAAAGTCAGATAAATGATTACAGGAACAATTTCATGTCTTTCTTAGAGAGACAGATTTCAGCATTGTATCAGGGAGACTTTGCCAACAGAACTTCTCAAAGCTGGACTGAACTGTATCAGGAGGTAGTGAGCTCCCTGTCACTAGAAGGATTCAAGTGCAGTTTGATTGGGAGATTGCAGAGGGGTTCAAGCATCCAGTACGTGGTTGGACTAAATGTCTTTTGAGGTTCCTCTCTGTCATCTAAGTTTCTTATTCTAACTTTAGAATGCATTCTATGGTTGTAAATTGGGGAAAGAATTGGCAATTTCAAGGCCATGAACCAAAGGATTTCCCACATGTCCCCAAACCTACCACAGTTAACATTTGATTATGCTCGCTTCCAGTATTGTGCGTGCCATCTTATGACTTTGGGATTTGCACCCTCTCATTTCAGTTTGCTTTGGCTGAACACCAGTAGTATGTTTTCATAGGAACCAAATCAAATTGACTTTGCTCTGGATCTGGAGTTGACTGGGGCGTAGGGCCAGAGACTGAGCCCAGGTTGTAGGGACAAACTTGGCTCACACCCACAGGGGTTCAGCCACTAGAGATCTGGGTGGGAAAAATCCAGGTGGACCCCAAGAAGGAGGTGTCCCAGGAGTGGAAAGAAGATGCAGAGAGCGGGAGCAGTCAGAGGAAAGGGAGGTGGTTAGGAAAGCTGGTCCTGGAGGAGTATAGCTGAGAGGCCAAATGGCCCACCCCCACCACCTGCCTATTTCTTTCCAGACCTTCACTTGCAAGGCCAAATCTTGCCTGGCGTCCATCATGTTTTCCAAGAACTTGACCAGAGGACCCAGGGACAAGCCTACCCCTCCAGACGAGCTTCTACCTCAAGCCATCGAATTTGTCAACCAGTATTACAGCTCCTTCAAAGAGTAAGGCTTGCTTCCTGCGGGGCGGCAACCTCCCCATTCTTCTCCTGGGCTCTCCTGTCTCCACCCATTGCCTGCTCCGGCCCAGATTTGCAGTGATTCTGGGGCCAGATCATAGTTCTCCAACGGAAAAGACCCCAGGGCAGGTTCTCGTAATTGTGGAGTAAAGCCAGGCTTGGAGATAGTGGTTACAAGTGTGGGTTGGGGTGTAACTGAGTTTGAATCCTGGACCCACCATTAACCCCTGCTGAATCCTTGGGAAATCAGTTTATCCTCTCTGTACCTTAACATTCTCATCTGTAAAATGGGGATAATAAGAGAACCTGGCTCCTAAGATTATTGTGAGGATTAAAATAGTTCAGAACAGTGTCCTGGCACATGAAAGCCTTGATTATGGATGAACAAGGGACCCTTTTCTTATGAAATGTGTGGGACAGAAAGGACCTCAGAGACCACCTAGACAAGCCCTTACTCCTACAGCTGTGATCATGAAAGCCAATGACATGTCTGAGGTCACCAAATCCCAGCCAGAAGGCAGGCCTCCTGACTTGGAGAGTGCTCAAGATCTTGGGGGTTAATGCGCCCTTGGGGCTCTAGGGATCTTCCTGAATGGGTTTGATTGGGCTACAGTACTTACGTATTTATGTATTTATTTAGCATGAAGCACGGCAGGGCCCATGTAAGCCACTTCTATTTGATGCTCACCACAGCTCTGTGACATTGGTACTATTATTAGCCATCTTACAGACAAGGCAGCTGAAGCCCACAGAGGAGATGAAACCTGCTCTGAGTCACACCTTCTGAAGCCTCTGAGCTGGGATTTGGCCTCAGGCAGCTGGAGCCCGGGCCTTATGCTCTAGCACCTAGCTCATTGGCCCTGTCGGTTTTGATTCTATTCTGGCCCTGGAAGGCCTTGCTGGTGTGGAAGGCAATTGGGTGGGCACTCGGAAGTCTAGAGAGGCTACTGAGCCGGGCTTGGTGGTGTGCAAACCCATGTGCTTCTCATCTTAAGAGAGAAATTGCATTTCTCACAGTCATAAGAAGTCCTGAGGGTGTGGATGAGGAATGACAGCCTATCCCCAGCAGCCTAAAGCACGGCCAGCTGAGCGGGTTTCGCCATCTCCTGTATCTGAAAATATAGAGTGTAGTTAGAGATTGTGACTTGCTGACGTTGCACTCAGATCTGTTCACTGATGATGAGAGCCACTCCTTTGTTTCAGAGCTAATGATCATCATAACATTTTTAGTGCCTAAGAAGTGAGACAAAAAAAATAAGAAAAGAAAAGAAATGAGACTATATGAAAGTGGTGGCAACATCTAAAACTTTTAAAGAATTGGTTGCAAATGTAAAAAAAAATAAAGCTTTCAGGTGTATTCCTGTGTTGAGATGACCACATGTGCTCACGGTGTTGGGGTACAGCGATCAGCGCCATGTTCATGCTGGGATGCAGAGTGGGAATTTCACTGCGGCTTTGGGGAGTGAGGTCTGCCGAGGGTGGGATGGCTCCAACCTCAGTCAGCGGCTCCTCTGACAGGAGCGTCCTTGGGTACAGATAGCACCAAGTGTTTTGTCTTTGTGCTTTTTCTCTAATCAAGGAAGAGTTGTCGAGATGCTCCATCTACAGAAAGGCCATGCTGTTCTGAGTTGTCCACTCTCCTTAATCAAGAGTTCATTCCTTAAATAGTTTTGTTTGTTGTCATTTCAAAAGCGTTTGGTGCTGATTGGAAGTTTCAAGGCTGGTGTGTGTGTGTGTGTGTGTGTGTGTGTGTGTGTGTGTGTGTGTGTGTGTGTGTGTTTCTCAAAGCCTTTCTGACTGAGCCCCTCCCTTTGGGATATTTTTGAAGTCTGGGAGGGAAGGAGAGAAGCCAGTTTAGAAATTGCATATGAGCCGGGCTCGGTGGCTCAGCCTGTAGTCCTGCGCCTTTGGGAGGTGAGTGGATTGCCTGAGCCCGCGGGTTCGAGATCCGCCTGGGCAGCGAGACCTCATCTTTACAAAAAATCAAAAAATCAGCCGGGTGTGGTAGCGCGCGCCTGTAATTCCGTCTACTCGGAAGACTGAGGTGGAAGGATTGCCAGAGCCCAGCAGGCCACTGCACTCCAGTCTGGGCAACTGAGTGAGACTCCAACTCAAAAAAAAAAAAAGAAATTGCATATGGAGTTGCTGGATGAGTAGTTCTGAGACTGAAGAAGATTTAGAGAGACTAAAGAGACTCTAAAGAGATCACGATGAGAGCAGCTCCCCTACGGCTGGGCCGTGGGACCCTGCAGGCTGAGTTCTGACTGCTGAGTCCCAGTCCCAGGCTGCCTAGACTCCTGAGAAAGGATGGGTGGGCACTTGGCCCCTCTGGGCTTGCAATCCCTGACCTAAAGTGGAAGGTGGAAGGTCTCACTGCAGGCAGTGAAGATCCTAGGCTTGGCATCAGGGCAAGCTGGGACTGAGTCTTTTTTTTTTTTTTAGTTGGAGTCTTACTCTGTCACCCAGACTGGAGGGTAGTGGCACGCTCACGGCCACCGCAGCCTCTACCTGCAGGGCTCAGGCGATCCTTCCACCTCAGCCTTCCAAGTAGCTGGAACTATAGGCACACACCACCACACCTGGCTAATTTTTTGATTTATTGTTGAGATGAGGTCTCACCAAGTTGCCCAGGTTAATCTCGAACCCGTGGACTCAGGCAATCCTCTCACCTTGGCCTCCCAAAGTGCTGAGATTATAGGTGTGAGCCACCACGCCTTTTTTTTTTTTAAATTAAGTCAGAGTCTCACTCTGTCCCACAGTGGCACAATCATGGCTCACCACAGCCTAGAGCTCCTGAATTCAGGCAATACTTCCGTCTCAGCCTCCTAAGTAGCTGGGATACAGGCAAGCACCACCATACTCAGCTAATTTTTTTGATTTTTTCATACAGTTGAGATCTCACTATGTTGCCCAGGCTGGTCTAAAACTTCTGGCCTCAAGTGATCCTCCTACCTCAGCCTCCCAAAGTGCTGGGATTATAGGCATGAGCCGCTACGCCTGGCTGTCTCTTGACTTTGATCTTTCCCATGTTTATGTTTCTGGGCTTGGCACTTAACCTGCTAGTGCCTGGATACCCTTGACTATAAAGCAGACACAAAAATACCTCCCTTCCAGACTCAGTGAGACCCTGACTGTGAGTTGCTTCACCTAGCACCTGGTCTGTAGTGAGCGCTCAGTACACAGGAGCGGCTGCGGGGGGGCTCATCTTCTCTTATCAATAACAAGGTGGACAGGCACTCCCCTGACCGAAAGAGAGGCAAGGTGATGCTGTGGCTGGATGGGACATTCCTCTGGGCCTCGCAAGTGTCTGAGAAGGACTGCACGTCTTACGGAGATGAATATAATTAAAAACAAAAAAGCACCTGGAAATTACCAGGGTTCTGACGGGCTCAGGACCCAGTGTGAAAATGAAAATGTAGGCTCCTTGTTCAAAAATGACTGAGGATCTCAAGATGGGGATAGCAGCAGCCTTGAGCACCAATGGGGCCCTTCTTGGCTAAGCATGGGATCCGTGAAGCTGGCGCTGGAGGGGACAGTCTCTGGTGAGAGACATCTTGCCCTTCTGGTGTCCTATGTTAGTTTCAGCTTCTGTGGATTGAATTAATCCCCATGTAAGGTCATCTCATTGTTGATCTTCCTGATGTCTTCCTGTCCCCCAGGGCAAAAATAGAGGAACATCTGGCCAGGGTGGAAGCGGTAACAAAGGAGATAGAAACAACAGGAACCTACCAGCTGACGGGAGATGAGCTCATCTTTGCCACCAAGCAGGCCTGGCGCAACGCCCCCCGCTGCATCGGGAGGATCCAGTGGTCCAACCTCCAGGTGAACTTCCTGAGACCCAAGCGGAAGAGGGAGCTGGAGGCGGGCAGCCCTGAGCAGGTGGTTTGAACAGCCACTCAAAGCTGTGCTCGGAGCCTCCCCACACTACAGCCAGAGCCTGAGTCTTCTCTTGTATCCCTGACTGTGAGAAGGAGACCCCGAGTGTGCCCCTCTAGAAGTCTAGATTCTACTTAAGCACTAGGGTTTCTAGCTGACTATTCTCTGTTGTGTTAAATTTGGGAGACTAAACGCCATCACAAAACCAACGATGACCTTGTGTGTATTATTCTTGAGGTTCTGTTGCCGCAAGAGAGTTTGTTTACCTCGAATGTTTGAATCCTTGTCTCCGAAAGCACATTTTATTTATCTTAACCTCCTTTCGTTGGGGGATCATTTTATTGTTGGATAATCTCGAAGGCACTTGGACAGAGAAATCGGTTAGAACTGCCAGTGAAACAGACTCTGGCTCTGTAAAATGTGCGCACGTGGTGTCTGAACTAGGCAGGGGCTATGGGAATCCTGGCGCTTTCAAGTCAAGTTGGGATGTGGGGTTTGCTGGGGTCTTCCCAGTGGGGTTGCCTGTGTTCCCCTAGGGGACAGCCGTGACAAGGGAGTGTGGGTACAGAGGTGGCTGCATGCCTCTGCATTGAGTTCAGAGCACCTGGCATTGGGTATTCCGGCTGCTCCCTGAGTCCGCAGCCTCAACCCCAAAGCCTCCGTCCGCCCAGTCCTTGACAGGTTCTGTCTGGGTGGGCTGTGTGCAGGTCTTCGACGCCCGCAACTGTTCCACCGCCCGGGAAATGTTTGAACACATCTGCAGACACCTGCGTTATGCCACCAACAACGGCAACATCAGGTGAGTGTGCCTTTCCCAGGGCTGTGGCGGGGCCCACCCTGCTCCCGAGTCTTAGCCAAAAGATGTGGCAGATGGGCTTAGGGGAGGCATCTTAGGCTCCAGGAGAAACCAGGGAAAAAGAAAAAGCAGGAAGACTCGGCTTCCTCAGGGACCTCTAGCAGCGGGCCCGGCCACTGAGAGCCTCAGCCCCCATCGATCACCCATTTCCTTGGTCTCCTTCTGACTTGGAGCTATTTGGAGAGGGTGGAGGATCTTTAAGAAATAACTTCATTGTTCAGGGCTAGGGCTCCCCCCTTTTTAGCAGGAGTGGGACATTGGTTTTCCAGCAGATGGTGTGGTGTCATTCTTAGAGATGGGAAAGTCACTGCTCATCACTGTGTGTCCTCCCACCTCTCACCTCACCCTCTGGCCTTACTTTCCTCCCTCCAGAAAAGAGGTCAAGGCCGATATGAGTCCTTATTTGATCATGTATACGTTTCTTTTTTGTGTGCAGCAGTCAGTGCCCACCTAATGAGACCCATCACAGGACTAAGCCAGGGGAGTAGGGGGAAGATGGCGTGGAAGACAAAGGTGACTGAGACACTAAGACCCTGCTCCACGGCCAGGCATGGTGGCTCATGCCTGTAATCCCAGCACTTTGGGAGGCCAAGGTAGGAGAGTCATGTAAGCCCAGGAGTTTGAGACCAGCCTGGGCAACATAGCCAGACCTGGTCTTTACCAAAAAATTTTTTAAAAATTAGCCGAGCATGGTGGCTTGTGGCTGTAGTCCCAGTTAATCAGAGGCTAAGGCAGAAGGATTACCTGAGCCCAGGACATCAAGGCTGTGGTGAGCTATGATTGTGCCACTGCACTCCAGCCTGGATAACAGAGTGAGACCCCTACTCAAAACAAACAAACAAAAAAAAACACACTGCTCCAGCTGCTATGAACTTACAACCTGCACTAGACAAGCTAACTCAACTGCAAGAAGAGAAACACCGGGCAGCAAGTGGAAGGTTGTGGCGGGGCAGCTGAGTGAGGGATGGGGAGCGCTTAGGGGGTGGGCCCTGGACTGGTCTTGATGCAAGGATAGGAGGAGAGGCTGTGTCAGGAGGCTGGTGCGAGGGCTGCAGAGCAGTCAGAGTGGAGGTGGCGGCAGGGGTAGGCTGCCCCCCTCCGGGACCTGGTGGTAAATAGCACTCTCTCTGTCCCGGGAAGGTCGGCCATCACCGTGTTCCCCCAGCGGAGTGATGGGAAGCACGACTTCCGGGTCTGGAATGCTCAGCTCATCCGGTACGCCGGCTACCAGATGCCCGATGGCACCATCCGAGGGGACCCTGCCAACGTGGAGTTTACCCAGGTACCCAGCACAGCCGCATCCCCGGCCTTTTGGGCAGGAAGCCCCGTGGTGGGTGGCAGAGTGGAGCCCAGAAGAGACATGGTGCCCAGTCCTGCACGCTCACCCAGCCTGTCCTGTCTTTCTCCCCAGCTGTGCATCGACTTGGGCTGGAAGCCCAAGTATGGCCGCTTCGATGTGGTGCCCCTGGTCCTGCAGGCTGACGGCTGTGACCCGGAGGTCTTTGAAATCCCACCCGACCTTGTGCTCGAGGTGGCCATGGAGCATCCCAAGTGAGTGGGCTAAGGGGAGGTCAACACGCATGCACCCTCCTCTCTTAGTGAGACTCCAGCCTTCTGGCCCTGCCCTGTATCCCCCAAAGCCCAGTCAGCAGCAGAGGCCTGGCTTTCAAGGATTCCTTGTCACCCTTGCATTCTGCAGCAGTTCTGCTTTTGCATCTTGGACCTCCAACATATCAGCTTAGGTGTTGATGGCAATAGGGTAGCAGAGTCTAGGTGGATGGGGTCCTAGGAACTTGGGAAGCAGTGGCTTCAGGAGAGGAACACTTTGAGAGTTTCTAGTGGAGCTGCCCAGCCTCTCCCTCCTGCCGACTCTCTTAACTGTCCCTCTGACTGGGGGTGCAAGTATATGGCTCTGGTGATTTCAGGAGTCCACCTGGTTCAGCCCCTGCTTTAGGCAGTTCTCATCATCGTAAAAATACCTCCATATACTGAGACCCACTATCTAGCAGGCTCTGGGCTGAGCTCTTCTTGTTCCTTGAATATACTGAACTCAATTCCACCTCAGGGCCTTTGTACTTGCTGTTCCCTCTGCCTGACATGCCCTTTCCTCAGAATTTTTCATGGCACATTTCTTCTTGTCGAAAGATATTTCCTGTAATGCCACCCCTCTGAGAAGGCTCTTCCGGCCACCCAGTTTAGAGCAGGTATCCTTACCCTCAGTCTAACACATCATCTTGTTTTTATTTCTTGTTTATCTGTTTGTTTGCCTGTTTATAGTTTAGAGCCTAGATGCTAGGCTGTAAGTTCCTTGAGAGAAGGGGATCTTTCCTTTCACGTTCATCAGTACCCCAACACCTAGCAGGGTACCTGGCACATTGTAGGTGCTCAGTTACAAATATTTGTAGAATAAATGAATATACAAACAAATGATATTATTGGCTTCATAATAATTCCAAGAGCTTGATGCTATAACCTCTATTTTGGTGATGGGGATACTGGAGCTCAGAGAGGCTAAAAAAACATCCCGAGCGACCCCTTCATGTCCCCTCCCACTGTGGGAGCTTTTCTGTCCTCTCAATAAATCCTGCTTTAAAAACAAACAAACAAACAAAAAAGTGAACAAACAAAATATCCCAAGATCACATCACTAGTCAGTGGTGAGGCAGAACTTGAACTGCTATGCTATGTTGGGTTCTCGGCATTTAACACAGGGCCTGGCACATACTTTATGCTTAATACATGTTTGCATGAATGAATGCATAATTTAATGTCAGTTTACCTCTTTTGGTGTGATGAACTTAGAGATAAACTCTTAGAAAGGAGTTTTCTTGGTTGGCATTTGCAAAAGCTATTTTGGGGAGAATGGGGACAAAAACGAAGGCCCCAGTTGCAACTGGCTCTGCCTCTCTGTCAGGTACGAGTGGTTTCGGGAGCTGGACCTGAAGTGGTACACCCTGCCTGCGGTGGCCAACATGCTGCTCGAGGTGGGTGGCCTCGAGTTCCCGGGGTGCCCCTTCAATGGCTGGTACATGGGCACAGAGATCGGAGTCCGGGACTTCTGTGATGTCCAGCGCTACAACATCCTGGAGGTACCGCGGGCTACCCAGCGGGTCAGCTGGAGGGCAGGCCTGGGGGAGGGTCCTGAGGACCGTCTCACCCCCGTGACTCTGTCTCTGCAGGAAGTGGGCAGGAGAATGGGCCTGGAGACGCACAAGTTGGCCTCCCTCTGGAAGGACCAGGCTGTCGTGGAAATCAACATCGCCGTGCTCTATAGTTTTCAGGTGCGTGTGCCGGTTGGCAGGTCAGAAAACTTTTTGATTAGAAGGGCATTGCTAATGCGGAGCAGTGTGAACTTTTATTCACTCAGCCTGTCCAGCCACATCTCTGTGTGCACTTGCTGTCCTGTCTTCACATCACATGCTGTCCAGACACCATTAAAGCATTTTCATAGTGAAAAAAAAAAAAAAAAAAAAAAAAGAAGGGCATTGCTTGTCTGGTGCTTGATGTCCCTCTTACAGTATCATTTATTCATACATGCATGCATACATCCAACAAGTATTGAAGATCCAGTTTGTGCCAGGCACGGTGCTAGGGGCTGGAACACAGAGATACACAAGCTTCTTGCTCACTCTGGTGATCCAGGCAACTCCTAACCTCCCAAGACTGGCCCACCCATGCACTTGAGCACTGAATCCTGTCCTCTCACAATCTCTCAAGGACCATACTTCTGAAAAGTTCCCTCCTCTCTCTGTATGGTCAGTGTCTCCTTCTCTGCTGGGTCACTCCTAACAGTCCCAGCTCCCATCTCAAAGAAATAAATGTATAACTACCCAAGCAACTCTACCCACGCCCCCAGGCTCCCTCCAGTCACTGCCTCATTTTCCTGTGGAAAGATCTCACCGCACGTCCTCATCCCCTGTCTGCTACAGCCCAGCTTTTAACCACCACCACCCCCCACTCCTCTAGTCATGCAGCTTTTCTTTTTTTTTTGAGTTGGAGTCTCACTCGGTCACCCAGACTGGAGTGCAGTGCTGCTGCCAGCCACCACAGCCTCTACCTGTTGGGCTC